CCCCCCCCCCCTCTCCACCATTATTTCTTCGCCACGAAACGAAAACAAAACAGAACCCTGAACCCTCAGATGCGAACACGGGTGGAGGGGATCACGGACCCGTTTGGCCCCCCCGCTGTCGAGGAGGCGTTCGACGCGATCGTTGTGAGCTCGGAGACGGTACTCGGGGCAGAGAAGATCAACGAGCTTCGCGCGCAGAAGGGGTTCCGCCCCCTTGCGGTGGCGGTCACAAGGCGGCTGGCCGCGGCAACGTTGAGCTCGTCGTATTTGCGGCGAGCGGCGGAGGAGAAGCAGAGAGACATGCAGCAACAGCAGCAGCAGCGGAAATAGCCGGTGGTGTCCTTCGAGGAAAGAAATCATAAACGGCGGCGATATGCTACCTGCGTGAGGGACAACGAGGAGTAGATGCTGACCTTTTTTTTGTCCGAGATTCGAGTTGGTTGGAAATTGCGCGCCGTCGGTCATGTAGTTAGGTAGTATGCATGTCCCATTTGCTTAGCGTCCGCATCGCAGCTTGCCTCGGGCAACCGTGGTGGTCCTCTAAGAGATCTCATCGGTCTCTTTTTGAAGATGGTGTAGAGAGCACAGACGACACGAAGATTCGTAAACACAGCAGCAGTCAACACCCGTGTGCCAAAGAATTATGAGTGCGTTAATTCTTGTTGCGTCCTTGCGTCCACGGTTTTTGTCAAGAAGAGAGCGATGAGCAAAGACCGACAAACATCGGTGAATGCTCAATCTGACGTAGAGAGTGCAGACGAGAATTAGATTCGCACATGCATCCAATCATAATCAATCGGTGCTGCGTACCCAGTACCCTCCCTTTTATTCTTGTTGCATCCCTACAGCGCTCGATGCCACCCGCATCATCTGCGGGTGCGCGAGCCCTTTAAAGACAGTAAAAACATAGACCAACACGCTGTGTCATTTCGGTTTTCATCTTTGCGGCAAAGATTTGTTGAGCTGAGTTTCGAATCCCCCCGGCGCTTTCGTTATTTAGGGTCGCACCACGCTTGGTTGGTTGGGGGCCAGCAGCACCCGCCCTTCTCCGGTGTTTGCATCAGAAGAGAGGTGTCGTGAGTTGTGCCGGGCGTGTGGTAAGCACATACACCACGAGGCGAGGCGTGAGTTACGCTCTCGCTGTCCAACCAACCGAGATGGATTGGGCGCGTCATGTACAAATACGTCCGTCGTAAACGTTTCGTTTCGGCTGCTGCTGCTGCTGGTGGGCATGATGATTTTCGCCCCAAACACGCTCGTAGCAGCCCTCGCAAGGAAGGGCCGATGATGTCGAACCTGACCCGAGCTCGTGCCGGGCAGGCAGCAGCGGGGGCGGTTCTACTGCGGTGTGCTTATTGCGGGTGGGCGGCGTGTTGGTGCTGTAACCCAATGCTTCCGGTTTGCGCTTTGCTCGAAGTTGCGAAAACATAAGTGTACGGGTGTCCCAAATGCTACGGCTAACAGAGGAGGATTTAGAACTCGCGGCCGCCACGAGCGAGGTCACAGGGACATACAACGGACGGCCTTTTTGGTTGTTTGTGGCCTCGCACTCCACCCCCTTGCCTGTGCTTTAAGCTTGAACGACCGAGGAGCCCTCGGCCGTCCTCCCGGCACAGCCATCTACCCTCAAAAGACGTCGCTCAATGTGTGCCGCGATGATAGTGATGTCCGCATCTAGAGCACGGGGGCCGAGAGAGAACATGATTCTTTCTTTTTTTTTGCGTCTTCCACGAGAAGGTTTGTCCGCCCACAACCAACCACGCTGCAGCTGCCGCAAAACTCATTTCTTTGCCTTCGCATGTAGACTAGTATCTATTCTCGACCTACATTGCCCAGACCCCAATCTCTTAACACGTTCTTTGGCCTTTGTAGTCGTTGATGGTTTGTCAGACCTTCTCTATTTCTCGAGCCTATTTGTAGGCCGTCGATGGTTTGTCAGACCTCTATTGCTCGAACCTATTCGCAGTCGTTGATGGTTTATCAGACCTTCTCTATCTCTCTCAAACCGACTGTATTTGTCGTCGTCGATTGTTTGTCAGACCTCCGCTATTTCTCGAACCTATTCGTAGTCGCTGATGGTTTATCAGACCTTCTCTATCTCTCTCGAATCCTATTTGTCGACGGTTTGTCAGACCTTCTCTATTTCTCGTGAACCGACGCTGGAACGCTTTATTTATTTACCGCGTGTTTGCTCAGGCCGTCGTACACTACCGAGGTTGGGTTGTTACAGGCCGCTGCGCGCTATCAAGTCCCGGAGGCGCTGATAGTAGTCGTAGTGGTCCCTGATGAGCTGCTTGTCGCTGACTCCTGGCGGGTTTCCTGTCCGCCTCTCGAAGTCTCCCTCCCAGACCCGGATGGCTCGCTTCCATTGCTGGCGGGGTGGGTCCCACGTCACGCGAAAGCACGGGTGAGCGAGAACCGTTTAGGGCAGAGCCAGCAGGGAAGGGCGCCGCGGTGCGTTTGACGAAGGACGACGCCCAGCGAATATAGGGTTGCAACATTAGCGGCATGCCGGCAAAGTATGCAACAATAGCTGTCTGTGTCACCCCATCGGGTCATGCATCGTGTCGACTTGAAAGCGCGCTCTACCCCCATCCTACGAATACCTTTAGAAGCGGGCTTAATGGGTTGGTGAAGACGAGCCACTCGTACGACGACACGAGAAGGACGCCTTTCTTTCGAGGGGATGAGAATCGGGGCAATGTAAGCTCACAGGACGGAGGCCCTCGACCGCCCATAACTAACCCACCTTTCGACACGCGTCTGCCGCGTTGACGTCGAACCCACCGCCGTCGCCATAGCCGCCGCCCGGCGACGGTCCGCCTGTCGCCAGAAGCTGTTTCGTGGCGCGGGTGAGCGTCACGAGGCTCGCGGAAGCTTCGGGGGTCAGCGACAGAGACGCGTCGTCGTCCCTCCTGGCGCCGACGCTTTCGTGCGTGCTGGCGGCGATGCCACCGCCGTCTGAGGGGCCAGGAGCGGGTAGAGTTTCTAGAGCGGCCCGGAGTTTCTTGTAGAACCCGTACCACTCACTGTTTTCCTGTCGCGTGAGTATCATGCGATGCCCAGGGACATTTTGAAGAACCGGGTGTAGGTCGACATGGGCATTACGAAATGAGCCTTGGCAATCATGGCAGTACTGCCGATCGCTTTCATTGTTGCGCTGTGAAGGAGTGAAGATTCCGCTTCAATCATTTCGTGTTGCTTTCGCTGTGGGCATATTTGCAGGCATCCCAAAGCAGTGCATGCTATTACTACAACGCCATCCGTTTCACACTACTTCTTCAGACCGGCAGTAAAGGTGCGTGTGTGAGCCAATAAAAACGCAATGCTTTTGACCGACCTCTTTGTCGGACAGGAGAGGAGGGTGTCCGTGGGCCTCCTCATACTCCCGCTCGCTCTTCTGAATGAGGCGCTTCCACTGTTGTAGTTGAGAAAAGTCGAAAAGGTTGTGGTTTTCGGGCAGGGACGTGGGGACGATGCAAGCGTTCCGTGCAGCGACATGATATGGAGAAAGCGCCCCTTTCACCTTTTTTGAAAAGATGTTCGCAAGGGCTGCTGCTGTGATGCGAAGGTCTCAAAAACATAGTGTCGACACCATGAAGTGCATGCACACTATCGTGTCACTTGCGCAAGCACCACAGCTACTTTATGATCGTTGAATGTCAGAGGGCGACCACCCTCGGCAAACGAGTGCGTCTAACATCGTAGAATAGCGACGACCAGTCCGCCTCTTCCTTACTCCACCCCCGAGTCGAGATCTCGGCCACCCTCGCCCCCAGCAAAAGTGGTCTCACCTGCATGCAGATGGTTTTCACGCTTGCTCGTGAATCCGCCGTGAGCGGCTGGCTGAATATTCGTTCGGTTTCGTCCCGGAGGCGGAGAACGCTCGCCGCGGACGAGTCGCGGAAGTCGCGGTGGTTGAGGAAGGCCGAGACGGCGAACAGCTTGATCATTACCCGTTTCTGACGGTCGGTCATGAGCGCCTGTTGTGCGGGCGGGTGGGGTTGGATGCAATAACGATCGATCAGCGCCAAAACGTGAGTAAACCGAGACAAATGACGGCAGGTGATCATGGATGGGGCAAGCAGTGGCACACCGTACACTTAAAAAGCAACACTCCGACGTAGCATATGTCCTCGTGGCGGCGTTCGTTTTCCGATGTCTCCCTCTTCCCTCAAAACGCCCACTTTGACGTTAATCCAGCCCAAAACCTTCCACACGCGCACACGACTGCGCTGACGCACCTGAGCCCTCCTTCGCCGTTGCATGCCGGCAACGACGGTCGGGTCTAGCAGCGCTTCCTCGAGCGCCTCGGTGAGGCCGCCACCCTCCTGCTTGACCCGGTAAGCCATGCGAGCATGAACTAGGGCGAGCCTCTCTAGGGCCGCCCCGAGCGCCGGCTCCAGGGCGCTGTCCTCCGCCTTAGCCTCCGCCCAGATAGCTCGCACGTGCCTCATGAAGGCCTCCAGGGCGCGGACGGGCTCGAGCCCCCTCGGACACATTTCGCACTGGAAGCGGAACTCTTTGGCCTTTCGGATAGCGTCCACCCACTCTCGCCGCCGCGGGTTACTGGCCAGGGCAATCAGCGTCGCCCGCGTCGGCCACCGATCAGGATACACCAGAGGGCCAGGGGCCGTGGTATGGGCATCGTTCGCGCCGCCTTCAGCTACCGGGGTGTCGTGCAAGCCATTGGTGGCGGACATGGCCCCGCCGTCAACGGCAGCGCTATCGCCGGAGGAGGAGTCATCGTTTCCAGAGGCACGGGCGGCGCGATTTCTTCGTGCTGCTTGCAGGACGCGTTTCTTGTGACGGCGGCGCGCCAGCTCTTCCTCGATCGGAGGCGCGATGATCACCCCGACGGCGATTGCAGCGGCGACAAGGTTGGTTGCCGTCATAAACTTGAACAGACGGCTTGCCACGAGCAAGGACCCTCGGACGCCATACCCGGTCATCATTCCCAGCAGCGCGTCCAGCCAGAGTGTTGCGTGTAAGACGTAGTGGAGCCTGTTGTCGGCCAACGAGAGGGTGTGAAGAGGAGGTCGCAGTAAACGTTTTGAACAAACGAGGCGGGAGAGTCGTAGAAATGGATGAAAGAACTGCTAGAAGAGTGAGCTCTACGCAGTAGGTGTCAGTGGTCTAGGTAACTACCGTGAGTGTTCCAAACACTAACACACGAAATGGGAATTTCTCGGGCTTTTCAGTCTCTCCGTACACGTTTCCCCCCTCCTTGATTGCAATGTTCAACTCCGAAGGTGCAGTCGATTCCACATGCTGCTGCATTGTCCACAGCGAACTACGGTTGGTCGTGCTCTAAGTTTTTTGTCTCCACCCCAGCTTGTATTTCACCGCACGCCACCGCGCGAAAAAGAAGAATCGACTCAGCACTCGAAAACTTCAGGTCGCAACCTGTGAAGTTTTACCTGTTGGAGCTACGGCATCGATAAGGAGGGTGCGTGCAGCTCCACACAGACCAGAACGTGATGAGCCCCCAGAACATGACCGCTTGATCCTCCAGGTTCGACCGGCCAAAGGCGTAGACAAGAACCAGGGCCAGCTTTAGATACATCATGTACACCCTTGTGTGGGAAAGTGCACGAAAGAAAATGGAACGGAACAAATGAGCGGTGGTCCTTGTGCCTGTTGGAACATTCAATGCCACTTGTGTGTCGTTGACCTGTTTCAATTTTCCGTCGTTTCGAGGAAAGAGTTGGGAATTGCCTGTGCCATGTGTCGTCGGTACAGCAGTACCCCGTTCAAAGCGCAGTCGAAGTGGTCTTCCGTATATCTGTGTGAGCCATTAATCACTGGCCATAGGAGGACTGCATGTAGCCATGTTGGACGTTCCCGATCTTGGCAAAGTGTCGCACACCAAGTATGCGCTTCCGTAAACAATTAGTATTTTTTCCCAAGAGGCCAGGCGGATGACTTGCCCATTGTCGATCTCCCGCTACTCACACTCTTAATCGTTTCCAATAGGAACTGCTTTGATCTTGAAGTAAAAAGTACACCTCGTGTGCGAGAGGGCTGGGGATGTTTCAAGTGGACTCGACGATGAACGTGCGCGGTCTACTTCTACAGCTGTAATCGCCAGCTCACCTGTACCGAACCGCATGCCGACGAAAGCTGCAGACCATCCACAGATGGTCTGCCTCCCACCCATTGCACAGGTTCAGAGAGTACTCAATCTCCACCCGCTGCAAAAACCTCTCGTGGTCAGACTTCCCACTGTACGTCGTCACGGCGTGGGCGGCATTCGTCGTATGCCTCTTCAGATCCAGTGTGAAAGCAATGACAACGCCGCACCCTAGCATCGCCGGCAGCACCAAGGACGCGCTTCGGCAGCTCATAGTAGGGTCGACGGACAGTGTTCCGTCACCGTCGCAAAGCAGAAGACGGATGACCGCTAGCAGCACGGGGAGATACAGGAGGTGGGCCGACAGCAACAACGCCCGCTCGAACGCGATAAGGGTGCTGACTACCTTCGCGCCTGGGGGTGAAGGCCTGCTCTCGCCCAGAACGATGCGATGGAAGAGAACCCTTCGATCTAGCCACAAGACGGCGAGGACTTTCCGGAAATACCATAGCGTTTGTATCCCGACCGGAACCACCGTAAACAGGAACGCGTAGAACACGTAGCCTTCGCGCTCCCCCCACGGGGAAGAATAGGTGCCCGGCCCTGTCACCGTCATTGCCGCGTCGTGGATGCTCACCACGTCCAGGTTAGCTACAACTGTCCATCGAGTTGCGGTCAGCCAAGGCCGAGGCCAGGGCCAGGGCTGGCTCAAGGACCACATGAGCGCGTACACCTGGAGCGTGTCGACCACAGCCAGCAGCTTCTCCATCCAGCGGAGGTCGATCCGACGAAGTCGGCTCCAGTTTATGCCAAGCTCGTCGAGGCTCCCTCTTGAAAAGTTGATGCGGTCGTGTTCGGCGGCCTGGGCGGCAACAGACGCTTCGGCCATCCCTCGCTGAGTGGCATAACCTCCCCCTTCCATGTCGTCCTCTTCGTAGTAGCCGTCATCGTCAGAATACTCCGCCCTCTCTAAGCTACGTCGTCGTTGCGCTTTACCACGAAACATCCCTCGCCAGATACTACATGTACTGCTATCCAAGCGGTGTTGTAGGTGTATGTGGGGAGATCGCAGGGAATATTTGATGGCGATGTGGCGGAGGCGCGGAGGTGGACGGTGAGAGTCAAGAACGGATGGAGAGTTAACGGTTACATGCAGCAGCGAGATTACGAGGCGGCGAGATTGCGAGGTGCGGCGAGATTACATGCGAGGTGCGAGGTGCGAGGTGCGGCGGTGCGGCGAAATAGGAAAAGTTCAGAATCCAGGCATCCAGGCAAGGATCTTGGCTGGCCGTCCCCCGTCCCGACTTGTTACAATGCAGCAAAACCCTTGTGTAGTAGGTCTTTTCAGTTTTCCGGTCACCGACCCGTACACGTGTGTTACCTTTCTTCAGAAGTATCTGAAAATTGAAATGGGTGAACAAACACAGCATTATTATTACATTATTACCGGGAATGCAGAAGACAAACTAAGATTGAGGGCAAGCTTCACGTCCCTACCGCCGCTCTTTTCACAGCAGAATAAGGCGCACTATGTGCTATCCCAACGTTTCGGTAGGATGAAGGACCCTTATTAAGTACGGGCTTACTAGAAAACTACATATCACCATCGCTTAGACGGGAAAACTCTAAAATACCCCAGAGAGACGAGACTCAGGGATGGGTCGGTTTTCTTATGATATCATAATGGTTCATAGCTGCTGTGGCCGGAATAGAATTCCTAACAGGTTGCGTACTACCTAGAAGAACACGGTTGGTTGTGACCCAGGCTTTGCTTGCTCAGGTTGCTATACTTTCCACACACGGCGTGGAGGGTAGCATAGCCTCCCCAGATCAGGACCAGATACCCATGACGCCTCCTCACGGGGTTCCACATCGTGACCTTCAGAAGCATTTTGTCTTTTCAACCGCACTGAGACTGGCGTCTTCGCATTGGTCAGTAGCGCGGTCGATGCAAACAACAACAACACACGTACATGTGCACGTCTGTCGCACGCGTATGTTGTACATCTGTGCCTTAGGGACATCGAGCGGCGGCCATGCAAGTCGAACTTCACTCAGGTTGCCAAAAACAATGGAAACGAGAGCCCGTCTTTCATGGTGGCGCCAAAGGCACAAACTGCAGCGTGTACCAGCGTCTCAAGAGGTTCTGTAGCACATTTTCAAGTGTAGCGCACCATAGCTACGTGATGGGGCCATCGTGACAAACAAAAGAGAAAAAATTGCATTCGGTGACTTGTACTTAAGTTGAACAACGTCCACTCCACCCATAAACACGCGTCGCAACAAAAAACCCCGACAATGTTGCTCCTATCATTATTGCCGTACCAAAACAGGGTGTTAAAAGCTCGCTGGCTTCAGGAAAAACAGTACACCGGGTGCCGCGTGACGTTCGTGTTCAACACTGCAGCCTCCGGATACCCAACAACCAGAAGTCAGTTGCGAACCGTTCTTACTTTCACTCATGGGACGAGCACGCAGTAATGTACACAAGCGCAGCATCTCGCGTGCGTAACCAATCGTGAACTACACGTGCCTAAATTCTCGTGAAAAAATTGCCTGAGAAAAAAAAGGGCAAAACAACGGTTCACTGCTACCGTGCACGAGGCAACAGCGGTGCTTTTGTACACAACAGAGCTCAGACAAGAACGCAGTGTCCATATGGGACAACCACCATACGTCCCTCCCTCCCCCAGGCGTGTAGTCGGACGAAGACGAACCAAACAAACTTCCAAGGGTACAGTCCTGGGGTAAGTCTGCGAATCACCACCACAAGTTGTTTCGTCTTTGTACCTCTACGGTCATGTGCTATATAGTATAATCACAAGGCCGACGGCGCGGCGGAGTCGTAAACCTCCGGAGCGTTCAGCCCTACTCTCAAGGCTGTCAACCTGATTCGCTCTTCCTGTGTCATCTTCTCTCCAGCATGCAAGTCGAGCAAGCCCTGCACACACGGCGAGCAAAAAAAGATGCCGTGAGGCCGATAACCAAGCAGACAGGCAACGTTAACGTAAGTCCACAGGGGACAAAAAAACGCCTGAGAGGTAGAGACACAACACCATAGGTGCAAAGGGCGTGCGCAGCGGTCTACCGGTGCATGCATACGTTGACAGATAGCAGCGAGCGAGACAAACAACCTCGTACTGCCTTCCCGCAGTATAGGCCTGTGTGATGCTGCTGCTGCTGTTTATTGCATGCATGTACCAAACAAATTGTTTGTCTGCATGAGACGGAATTCTGGAAGCACGGGAGGTTCTGGATGTAAGCCAAACCATCGTTCCAGGCAGCATGTGTCGAGCCCGACCCTGGGTACGTTTGTGGCACCTATAATAGTCTACCAACCGCCGTATCACATGTCAAGAAAAGGAAACAGTTCGCAGAGCCAATGGAGTAAGAATACGACGGTCTTCCAAGATTTCTGAGACATGTGTGCTATCCTTTTTTAGTGGAATCCCGTCTGTATTTCCATAGCCGCCCAGCCGTCCCCATCAACAACAAAAACCATGACCGCGCTATTGAGGTACTTTTGGCACACCAACGCTGCTGTTTTTCCCGCCTTAGTTGCGCGATTCGTCTTAACGCTCGAGGACATGGCTGTTGCATGAAGCCAACTGTCTACAACGCACGTGTTCGGTCATGTCTCAAGAGTGTATTTCCTTCTTGCCCATGACGGCGTCGTTCCAATGGAGGAAAACATGCCGGCAGGACGCCCGTCTGAGATACACTGCACACAAAGGGCAGCCTTCAACACCACACACAGCGTTCAACGCAAGAGTACCTGCCGTAGAGACTACATAATGGTTTCGATGTAAGCTGAACCTGCGTCGGGTGGTGCAATGCTTCCACGAGTGGCGGTGGGAGGTTCGCGCTGCAGCAAAAGTGACGGCTCATGGAACTATTGCAATAAGACACAAACACCTGTGTTGCTGCACACTACAAGGAAGGCCATACTGCAGGAAGGCAGGCCTGCGTGGGCCGTGGTTTGAGTCACTGGAGAGGCAAGCGAAGAGCGGTACTCCAAACTCGGACTTCAGTAAAGAATCTCAATCTACGTCTGAGCTGTTCGCGAGCGTACGGCAGCTAGGACCCAAGTCCTTGTGCTACTGCGGTCCGCGATTTTCGAAACGAGCAGTATGTCCATCGAGTTCGGTGCACTACAAGCAGTTCCTCGGATGCTACCGTGGCGGTCCGATTTTCGAAAGCTTCAAGCACACAGCAGAAGTGACCGCAATCAGAGCCTTTGTGAGTGCCTGCGGTCGCCAACTTCAGTGCAGCTCATTCCTCACACATCCTACTTCGCCGGAATCGATCGTAGGTCTAGCCGTAAGGAAAGGTGCTTGAAACGTTCAAAAATGGGGCCGCTACATGGACGCCACACGGTGTGGTCTGCTTCTAGCTCATCGAACTCGATGGAAAAATATGGTTTCGAAAAATTGCGGATCGCAGATCTCTAGGAGCTTGGGTCCTTGCTACAAACAGAAGTTGTTGCTAACTCGCGACAGACAAAACCCACTATCGCGATGGTTGATTCGTACTGAAGTTCGATCGAGTTTGGAGAACTGCTGTAATGAGGCGTTTCCTGGGTACAACTCGCTCGCGCCCTTGCCAAAGGATAGGTCCATCATCCGATTCCAAGCACCCACACGGTCTTGTTCTGCCCCAGAAAAACTGGTGACTGAGCAGAGAGGTCGCAATCTACTCAAGCAGCGCTGGCAAGGAGCCAACTTCCCCTGTGGATCTCTAGTCTTGTGCCGGCAAAACCCGGTGACTTGTGTCATTCGAAAAGTGCCAGGTAGGCAGCGTACACTGGCCTATCTATGTAGACTACATAGTCAGCCAAGATCTCTGATTCTATGGCAGCAAGAACTGGAAAAAAAAAACAGTGACTGTTGTTGTGCCTTTTGCTAAGTAGGCAGTGCACCCCTGGCCTGCATAGTCAGCGCTGTAGGCCAGTGTACGCTGCCTGCTTAACACATGGTAAGGTCCCTCCTCTATGCCTGTATCCTCTCGCTGGGATGGGGCAATCATTGGCGCACGCTGTACGCAATGCTGAGCTCTTATGTAGCTCATGCTTTTGAACAACTGCAGGGTGACTTTCTTCTTCGCCTCTCCCGTCATTCTACTCTACTACTGCGTGCGTCTGTGCTTGTCTCTCGCTCCTGGCTTCTTGCTCTGCCATCAATGTACTATATATACTACGTGTCTTTCGCTCTCTCACCTTCCTGACTTGCAACGCCGTTACTAGCTGCGCCGCATCGTGGGCCTTCCATCTCAAATTTCTGGCTTCTCCCTTGTCTGTGATGGCCATATTCGCTCGGAACTGCGCCGATGCGCGCCAACAACGAGATCACCGCGGAGATGAGCAAGCAAGGTTAGCCACGAGTCTGGTCCTATGTGTGTGTGCTACTCAGGGCGAAGCCTGTGTGTACGATACGAAAAGGACCAAGAAACCCCCCTAGCCTGATTTCCGGTCCGCCGCAAAGAAAGGCAAAAGACAGCCAAGCAGTAGCCTTCTGGTTCTACATGACCATGAGAAATGCGCAGCAGCACGCGTGCAGATACATACAGAGGTGGACGCCAAGATTTTATGCGTACCGAAGCGGCTGTGCAACGGCCAACGTGAGCCTGCCTGGCGCTGTGGGGCAATCAATCGTTGTCAATGAGAAAAAGGGCGGAGCAGTACATCGTATCTATCTTCTTTGCTCTCCTCGTCCCCACCTACAGCAGTACCTGGGCCATGGTCTGAGCCTTGAACGAGTTTATCCCTTGACTCGGCAGCTTGTTGATATGTCGGAGGATAGTCCTCAGGTCTGCCAGAAGCACAGCCTTGGACATTGCTGTAGAGGAGAAGAGCAGCAAGTGGGAGGTGCGTCGGATACACCACCATGCCATATATATCAGTCGCGACCGATACATTGCGGGGGGGGGTATTTCTGTTTGAAGGCCCCCTTCGTCTTTCCCGAGCGAGCTGAAATTTGACATCGCATCTCGCTTTTTCGCATTGCGCGATGCGGATCCAGGCGCTCACCCTGGTCGACCAGAGCGATGCAGGGGGCGAAGGAAGATGGGAGACTCGGGAGGTCGACGCCAAGCTCACGTTGCCGAAGATCACTTCGGCGGCGCTGCTTTGGTCAGATCTCTCGAAGGATAACTTGATTTCAGGTATAGAATTCGCTGCTTTTTCTGCTGGCCTGCTGTTGCTGCTGGCTTGCTGAAAGGATTTATTGCATGCTCTGCATCCTGCATACATGCAATGGTGGCGTTTTGATATAGGGACGAGCGCCGTTGCAGGAGGCGTGAAGATGCTGTAGCCCCCAGGATCCAATCCAGGCCGGGTAATGTTGGTTTGATACACTCGTGTGCAGCAGAGTTCAAGCATTGCCAGAAGGTGCGGAAAGTTTCCATCTCACCTCAGAAACTTTTTTATTTTGACGGACCGTCCGCTCGGGTGTTGTCTCGCGCAATTTTTTCATCTCTTTTTTTTCTCCGAGCTCTGCCTCTTCGATACTACCCCACACAGCCAAGCCAGACCTTGCCCGGTGTCTTGTTGTCTCACACTCTCACACCACAAATATTATGCTTCGTTGTCATGCAGTTCTCGTGGTAGCTTTGTGAGCGTGTCTTTCGTAGTGTCATATGGACCGCTTTCCAAGGCAGCACGCACAGCGCATACTACGGACGGGTGGTATTTTCGGAGGGATCGTTACGGGCGGCGGTATGTAAACAAGATATCCTATCCCACCAAGAAGGTCCTACTTTTACTCTTCTTCCCGTTCTGAAGATTGTGGTGTATGCAACGCCCTCGCGCAGGATTGGCAGATGGGCTCCGAGCCTGCCCGTTGGTATACTATTTGGTGGCATTCATGAATGGTGGCATTCATGCATTCATCCATCCCATCCGGAATTGGTTCTGTCCATGCCCTTTGTACAAAGAATGCGGAAAGAAAAAAGGATGACATGCATCTCTACATTTGATTTTGAACACCACGCAAGAAGAGCTGTCATGCCAAAAAGGTGCATTCATTTCTGAAGAGTTGTCAGCAAGAGACAACACCCCCCCCCAGCCCAACATACCCTTTCGAGAACGCCCCCTCACCTACCGCCCCAAAAATAATACCGCCGACGAAGCACAAGAACAACACCCCGACTAATGCCAATCGTGTCTGTTGTGACCTCTTTATTTCTGCCCGTCATCTACATATCTACCTCGGAGTTGCGCTTTTGGTGGTGTTGTATAATGCAACGTTTCGTCTACTGCTGTACGTGTAGTGCTGCCGCGCGCGAGATGTTCACAGAAAAATCACGGTATTCATGCGCGGCAACGTTATTCTTGTCGTCGCCAAGTCTTCATCGTTGTTGTTGCCAGCATCATGGGCTCCTGCTGAGAGGTGGGCGGCCAAGTGTTTTGTGTGTATGGCCGGGGAGTTTTTACCCTGGGGGCGTTTTTTACCTTGGTATTGTTTTTTTACCCCGTTACTGGTTTCTGAAAACGTTCCGAGGGTGGCTGCCCGGTCGTGTTCCTGGTGTAAACGCATCACCCGGTAGTCGTTAGACCAAGCCCAAGCCCTTTGTTTTGGCTTCCCCTTGGGGAGGGATTTTCGGGGTTTTCCCCGCCCCGGGTTAGTTTTCAAAGGGGGAACCCAAAAGTGGGGGGGGGGGGGGGGGTCGTACTCGTATTTTGCATGCCTTTTTCAACGTGTTGTTGTCAGGTTATTATAGCCCATTGGCCACAAGGACGGAGTTTTGTTCCTTTCCACGGGACCAATCTCCGACGACCAACCAATATTTCCTTCCTGCTTTGCCAAATGGGGTTCAAAAAGAAGGAGACGGCTCCGAGGGGGGGGGCTTTCAATTTACACACACAACACGGCATTCTGTACGGTACACCTTGCGAGCACACTTTTGGAGCGGCTACACATAGGGAGCGTTCGTTCGTTCATCCCTTTTTTTTCCGCTCCCACTGCTGTCGGTCAAACTCTCTTGTGTCTGTCTGCCCTCCTTCGCCGCCGATGGCGTTTCTGAAGACAAGAAGGAGGTCTTCTCTCGGACCGGCATCTGGCGGGGGCCCCTGTCCGGTCTGCCGCAGTCCACTTTGCTGGAGCTGCCGTCAGCGGCGCCGCCGTCGGAGACTACGCTCGAGCTAGTCCTCCTCCCGGAAGCAGATGGCGGCGACTCGCTGGTTCTCTCGTTCGCGAGGGCGCAGCTCAGCGTGCCGCTCATGCGAGGATACCGTTACACTCTTGTTCGCCCTGCTGGTGGCGCCGGCGGCTATGCTATTGGTGCCGCCGCGACCGGTGCGGCGCCGGCAGCTGCCAGCGGGGCCGGCGCCGGCGGTGACGGTAAGGAGGCCGGCAGTGCTTCGGCTGCTCCTGGTGCTGCAACCGCCGCCGCCGCCGCCGCCGCGGAGACCAACTCAGATGTTTCTGCCGCCGCCGTCGCCGCTACCGCAGCCGCAGCCGCAGCCGCAGCCGCAGCCGCAGCCGGCGTTGACGGGGGCGGCGGCGGCGGCGGCACCAGTGGCAACGACTGCAAGAAGAACGACGGTGGTACCCTCGTCCCTTCGGCACCGAAGACCTCCGCCAAAGCCGTCGCCGCCGCACCTGGAGGTTATGCGGCCGCGACTCTCTCGTCGCTCATGGCCGAGCTCGACGGCAGCCTCGCGGACTCCCTCGTTTCTACCGCCGCCGCCGCCGACGGTGCCGATGCCGCTTCACAATCTACAGCAGCAAAATACCTAGGAACAGCAGCAGCAGCAGCAGCAGGGGAAACGTCGCCAGCAGCAGCATCGAAAGAGGCCACCGAGAGAAAAGAACGAGAGCCAGAAACGTGGGGGTTCGTTACCGATGCCGTCGCACTACTTGTCGCCACGCCTGAAAGCGGAAGCGGTGGCGGCGGCGGCCGGCTTCGGACCCAACGAGAGCGGCAGCGGTTGGCGGGAGCGGCGCTCCGCGCCGGCGACGTGGATCGCCTGCTGCTCTGCCTCGGGCGGCTGGAAGGGGAGGCGCCGCCGGTCCACGGGGGGCGGGCGGATAGGTACGACGACCCGGCCGCGGTGGCGGAGCGGGCGCAGCGGCGAGAGGCGGGGAGCAAGGGCGAGGACGGGTCGACCGGGGTAAGAAGAACGTTGGGAGAGGGGGTGGTCCTTGCATGGCTTGCTTCATTCGGGGGGGGGTTACTTGAGACGTCGCATGATTTGTCGGAGAGTGCACGTTTGCCCGCCGTTCGTCGACAGAGTCTGGTTCGGCCATATTTTTTGTTGTCGGTACTACATGTAGTTGTTTCGCTGCTGCTGAACAAGGCGTTTTCTGTGCGATATGTGGAGAGCGGCACACGATGAGTGAAATGATTTTTAATCGTTGTGTGCACAGCAGCGCTGCTATATATATATATGTACGTGCATGTGCGTGGCAAGAGTCATGCGTGCGGTTCTCACGGCTGTGGTGGTGGCCCTATGTGCTCACCGGCCAAGCGCAGGTGATCGTTTTCGGTGCTGCTGCTGTGTGCCGTTCCTGTTTGTTTTCACCGAGGCATTTTCGAGGCGTTGTCGGCACGATGTCGTCGACCGTCCGAAATCGTGTCGAGTGGGATGCATGTTCACAGCACGAACAGGATTGTTCACTACATGACGACTGGGTGCCCTGGACACGCATCGCCGATTTCGGCTTTCGTGCCGTGTGCGGATGAACTACGCGTTGGGGAGAGTTGCCAGCGCCACTTCTCTTGAAAGACGCTGCTGCCTTCTGCGTGCCCCCCTCTGCTACGCTGCTGCCCTCTGCGTGACCCCCTCGCGTCTCGGTTTGTGTGCACTTTTACACGAAGGCGGGCGCCGCGAAGACTACCACGCCAACGTGGAGCCCTCCGTTTCCCCCGGAGGAGTTTGACGGCCTCGACGACGAGATCGGGATGGACAGTGAGGTGAGGATGTGAGCGTAGTTAGGTTGTCAGGTGGTGTCCATCATCGACAACACCAGCAACCAACAACACAAGGAAGCACCACAATAACGATAGTGAAATGAACTGCAGCGCGCGAAGCACGTTCTACAATGTGGTGCAGGTGCTATTGTAGCACCAAATAGTAGAGTGGGACAGAGAGGGCCGCCTACGCGCAGCTGAATACGCGGCACTTTTCGCCCCCCGCGCCGGTCGATATGGAGCGCGACATTCACAAGGCTCTCCAACTTTCCCCCCGTTTTTTTTTATCTCTTCGGGATGTTACGAAACCATTTCGTTCGTTTTTCTCTGTTGCATTTAATTGTATTGCATCGTCCTTTTTTTTGTTGTTGTTGGCTAGGACTGGGGTCCCGGCGCTAGCCTCGGCGGTTACCCCCCGTACCACGTGGGGGCGTCGGGGGGGCGGAAGGTGGCGGGGGCGGGGGAGGAGAAGCGACAGGTGAACGGGGGCAGCAAGATGTCCGCGTACCACGTGGAAGCGCTGTGCCGCCTGCTAGAAGCGCTCGCTTCCGGAGGCGACGACGATGGCGACTGCGGAGGGATAGGGTCCGGCGAGGAGGAACCCGGGGGGGGGGGCAGAGGAGCCGGCGAGGGGAGGGAAGTCAAACAACTCGAGGCGCCACGGGATTGTTCTGGAAGGGCGGCGGTGGGACGGCGGCCGGGCGAGGGGGCAGCAGGCTGCGATGCCGCCCCTGCCGCAGATAATAGCGGGCCGGAAGGAGCGGACCGCCTTGGGGGGGGGGGCGTTGGTTGCGGCTGTGATGGCGTCGATGCCGACTACGACGACGACATTGCGGCGCAAGCAACCGCCACTCTGGACGGCTCGTGCCTGCGGAGCGTCTGCCGCCAGTACCTGTTCGGAGCGGACTGGCGCTTCGTGTCTACGCATCAGCAGTTCTACCTCGCCCTTCTGCGGCTCTTGCAGGAGGTCCTTCGACCCTTCAACGGCCCCGGGGCCGGCGGCGACGGCGGCGGCTGCCGACGGCAGGCGGCGGGAGGTGCAGGCGAGCCTCGCTCGCGGCAGCCCCTCGCCCAAAGCCTGCTGCGTCCTTCGGTGGACTGCCCGGGGATGGTGGACCTTCTGGATAGCCTTTGCGTTGCATTGGATGACCTCGTCGCGTGCCCGCCCCAGCCGCCCCCGCCGGCAGCGTTGCCGGCGCCGACCCGCCTGCCTCAGCCCTCGGCTTCTCCCGCGGCGGCGAAGCACCTGCCGCCGCCCTCGCCAGCGTCGCCGCTCAAGCTCTCGTTCTTGACGCAGCAGGAGCAGGAGCAGCACCAGCAGTTTCTGCTGCTGCAGCAGCAGCACGCGAGCTCGCCGCCGCCGCCGCCGCCGCCGCCGCCGCCACCGCCTCAGTCTTCCTCGCAGCTGTCGCATCTCTACACGTACGCCATGGCGGCGGCACAGAAACAACATACGGGCTTGCCGTCGACGCCGCCGCCGCCGCCGCCGCCGCCGCCGCCGTTGTCGCAATCGTGGTATCAAATGCCGCCGGGGTGGATCCAGCACGGTAAGAGCCAAGAAACGGCGGTACAGCAGTCGGTCTTGGACGCGCATGCCTTCTCGGCAGCAGCGGCGGCCGTAGCGGCTGGAGCGCCCAGCCTGGGCCCCGCCAACTACCTGGTCCAGGCCAAGTACCACCCGAAATACAACAAGTACTTCAAGATGCTGAGCGTAGGGCTCCCCCGGTCGGCGGCTCTTCTGAGGATGTCTAAGGACGGCGTAGACCAGGCGATCCTCGACGCGCCGGACGCGATGCTCCCGTTGTCGGGAGCGGGGCCAGCGGCCATGATGGGCGTACCGGGTGCTGGCCCCTCGGCCTCCGCGCTCTCAGCAGCCGCTGCTGTGTCGCCGGCGGGCCCCCCCTGCTCCTCCGCTTCTGTCACCAAGGAAGCCGCCGCCAACACCCCGCCCCCGCCGCCCACCCCCCAGGAAACATCTCCCGTTCTTGTGGACCAACAGCAGGGAGTTCCTCCCCCCCCACATGGAACCCCGGGTGTGCCGTCGGACGGTCAAGATGGGGCGCCGGTGGCGTCGTCCCCTGCGGCGGAGGCGCCGCCGCCGCCGCCGCCGCCGCTGCCTTCGGCGATCCCTCCTCCGCCGACCGCAGCGGCGCCACCGCCATCCCTTCCGCTGACCGCACCCCATCCGCCGCCCGGGGCGATTCACGCGAGTGAGGCGGGCGCGTGGGCGTGGTATTCGGCCGCCACGTCGTCGTCATCGACGCCGGGGCTGGGGTGGTCGCCACCGCCCCCCGCTTTCGCTCCCCACGCCTTGATG